TAGTTAATGTGCATGTCTGATGCAATGTCTTCCTCCCTCAGAGCCATGTCCCAAAAAGACCCTTATTGAAAGAGGAAATTCATTAGGTAGACAGGGCAGAAAAACAACATTAGTCGTTATCGTTAAATTGCTCTGTTATGTTTAGGAAAGCTGCAATATCTATCAAGAGTGAAGAGTGGGGCCTGCCAAAAGCAGCACTTCAGTCCAGGTGAATCAAACAAGGCTTATCTGAAACCAAATGTAAGAACAATTCACTGTTTCATTAAAATCAAATCGCTCAAGCAGAGAGCTTTCATTGCTAAACTGAGCCCAGTAAATAAGAGCAAATGATTTATAAAACAAAGACAGAAAGATGCATTAGAAATAGGCCTGTCATGATAACAACTTTTTGTTGTGCGATATATTGCCCCAGAAATAATTGCGATAAGCAATATTATTGTCATTTTAAAGACCATTTTATGCCACTGAATATATAATCATAATGTAACAGCATAGTAATGCAAGAAGGCCTACACACTTCCAAATGTCAACAAACTTATAATTTTTAAGAATATTTAGATCATAGAAATTAAGTATCAAAATATTAAATACCTTAAAAAACCTGAATAAATAGTAAATAAACATTTTCTAACAAAAAGTGCAAAGCAACAAGTAGAAAAAAAGAAAAATGCACAAAGAACTTGTATGGAGATTTTTCCCTGACCTTATTTTCTCTGTAAATTAAGGGTGCACACTATTGCTGAAAAACACAATAACTACTTATCAGTCAGGCCTAATTAGAAAATGTATTTTTAGTCTGTTAACAGTGCAATAGAAATTGCTCCATTTAACCCAACATAGTGTTAGAACAAGTCACTGTTTCATGTTATTTTGAGCAAGGTTGGATTCAAAATGCAAATGATGCTGTCAAACAAGATATACACAATATAAAGAATCGAATATACTCTAACAACACAGATATCCGTAAAACTAAAAAAAAAAAAAAAAAAAAAAAAAAGAATGTGATGGGAAAGACAAGCAAAACTGAAGTTAAAATGAAATTACACTATTTCAGACTCATTGGTTTTTGATATTTATTTCTAAATGTATTAAGCCTCATTTGCTCTGCCAGTAGTGCACAAATATTTTCATTTGACAATATTTTCATTGAAACTGCACTCTTATAAAGGTTTCACAGCGATGCCATGGAAGTTCCGTTTTGCTTTCCTCAAAGAACCTTTCAGTGAATTGTTTTTAAAAGAACCAATTTTTTTTTCTTAGCATGAAGAACATTTTAATAATCCAAAGAACCTTTTGTCACTATAAAGAATCTTTTGTACAATGGAAATGTTCCATGGTTGGTAAAGGTTCTTCATGGAACCGCAGAAGCCAAAAAAGGAAACTTTATTTATTTATTTTGAGGGTGTACACTAAAAAATGCTGGGTTAAATACAACCCAGTGCTGGGTAAAATAGAGACAAACCCAGCAATTGGGTTGTTTTGACCCAGCGGTTGGGTTACTACCCAGAAGGTTGGGTTAAACATTTAATCCAACCGCTGGGTCAAAACAACCCAATTGCTGGGCTTGTCCCTATTTAACCCAGCACTGGGTTGTATTTAACCCAGCATTTTTTAGAGTGTAACATTTGAAACATCACTATTGTTTATTCAGACTATAATGCCCCTGGATCCCCATAATAATCAATATCTGTCTTCAGCCTCAAGGCCTCCATTTACATATGTGAAAATAAATACACATAAATATGAATACACATTAAAGTACACTTGCTAAACTTTAGGAAATACCATGCAGGGCTAAAACCTCAATGTCCTCAAATCCGAGATACACCCTTGCTGGGGGAAAAAAAAGGTAGAAAAATTCAAAATGCATTATTAATGCTATCCACTTGTCCTGAGATACGTGCAAGGCCCCTACTGAGGCCTTTAGACTCCCCCAAAAGACATTTTGCACCACGGAACATTTGGCAACACATGCTTAACTTCCATTACGTAGGAAGCTTGAGATTCCCCACCTGTTCGGTCCATTCCAGAAAACCTTTTATCAACGTTAATAATTCATTAGTTATTGTTTACATTTGTTGCCGCGCCGTATGCGTCCTCGTTTATTTCAATAATTAACCGTAATTAAATAAGAAAGACGACTAAACAAACCTCCGGACAGAGTTAGTGGGGGATCGAGAACATCCGCGCTGGTGGAAAGGAATCCATCGGCTGCGCAGACGCATCGCGCCCTCCCTCTCTCCCCTTGTCTCCATCTTCTCTGAAGGCACATAAACGTCCCATAAACCGCGAAACCTCACCCAAGTTTTGACTCCACGTAAACGTGGCCTGCCGCAAGATTTATCCAGCCTGCAATCTGAATGGCATCTAAAGCCACAAGCGACAAAAGAGGGATTCCTTTTAACACACGCACTACGTGGCGCGATTGCAGGTTTGAAGGATCTTTTATCGCCGCAATCAAAATCACAGTCGAGCTAATGCCAAGACGGGCTGAAAGATTTAAGACGAGGACGCTGTAAATCAGTGTGACAAAGGTTTGGGGTTTTACCCGTAAGCCGTGACCTCTATTGCTTCACATGCACTCAATACTTAGGTGCGTCTGAGACACTTTGTTACAATTAAAAAAAACATTTACACCTAATAATTGCGAATAATAGCCTACAAATGTAATTATCAACTCATGAGACAAAACACTTTTCCAAACAAACGGATTCACTAAGAAAAGAAAATGCATTTTTATATATGTAAATTATACCAAAAATTAGGCCTACTTAAATATAAGCCTATTACATGATGAATACGTTTCAGAAAGTCATTTTGATTTCTTTTCTGAGGTTAAAGCAAAAAAAAAAGTTTTAAAAATATTGAAAAAAACATTTTTTTGCAACTATGCAATTCTGTTTTAAAGCATTAATATTTAAACTGCTAAGTCTGCCAAATCAGAGTCAGTGGTGTAGGTTTTTTTGTCATATGACAACAAAGACATAAAACAGAGAGGACATATCTAGAAAAATCATATAATTTGACCTTTTGATGAATGGGCAACAGTTCATGTCAAGCTGAGTTACCTTTAAATATTTGCATTTGTAGCATATGGTGTAGGCTATATTCTTTTCTCTTTTTTTTACCTTGGTTAAAATATTTAATTTAAAAAAAATTCAAAATGGTTATACCAACCTAAATAAAAAGATACATTTCAATTAATTGCCATGTGTTTTAAACTACATTTATAAAAGATTTATCCCTTTTATCTTGGACATTATTTGCCACTGATCCTACGGTTTACTCTTCACTGTTAACTGGATCTCCACCAGTCGCCCAAAGCAAAAATTAATTATAAGAACAAGACAGAATAAGTTTAGGTACGCCTGTAGGACATCAGCTATTGAGAATTCAATTACTTATGTCTTAGCCTAAAGGAAAGTTATTTTAAAGACCTGTCGAATGTCTGCTACAGGAATATTTAACAGCCAGAAAGAGCGACTGCCACAAACCCGGGCCAAACTGGGCTAGAGAGACTCTCCGAGACGGCCGAGATTACAGCCGCAGCGGCTCGACTCCTTCAAGCGGCGTGAAGCACACACAAGCCCCTGCGCGCATTTGGACACACGACTGCAAATACATTTTCAATTTACTTTTGAATTATCTATTCAAATACACGCATCTTTGAGGAACACAAATGCTTCTTCAAAAATAATACTGCTTGTGCAAAAAAAGGCTTCAAGTAGGCCGTCAGGGACAGAGCAGGCTATAATTTCCAAAACTGACATTTGTGTTAAAATATAAGACTACTATATAAGACTAAACACTGCTTAATATTTTTAAGCATTATAGCCTATATCTGAGGCCAACAATTAAAAGCAAGTTAAGACTAGCTTTAGACACACATGTAGGCTAATCAAAGAACAACTTTTTGTGATGTAAGAAAGTTTAGTAAAATATTTTGTAACTGCGAAAGTCTGACTTCTTGCCAAGTATAGAGACAGTTGAAGAGAATAGTGTTTTTCAAAGATTGGTGACCGTAAATTAAGTCAGCCGTCAATTTGGCATGAATGGCTCTGATTGAAATAAGCCTATTGTCGTTAAACTTTTTAAGGGAATAATTTAATTGTATCCTGAAAGTATTTTTTTAATACTATGTTATGTGTTGTACAAACAACAAGATCTTTATGCATGCGTATCATCGCTTCACATAATCAAGCTTCCAACCTGCCTAAGATTATGAAAAAAGGTTCATAAATTATGAATGTATATGTTGAACTAGACAACTATTTAAGAGATTTTTTTTAAATAGCATGTCAGAAGTTGCATATGCATAAAATAGCCAATTGCATAACGTCAAAAAGGCATTTCTTTCACGCAGTCTTCACTTTAGAAGTAAACGCGTTTTAACATATTCTCCTCGTTCCATTTATTTAGAATAAAATAAGCCTACTAAACCATTACAGGAGAACAAAACATATCCCTGAATTGCACATTTAGGCTAACGTATTTTGGACACGTTTCTCACTCAGGACAGGTAGATCAATGTCCCTTCATGCCTCTGAACTCGAGCGCAGAGACACGTTCATGCACGGCAGTGTTGGACACACCGTCGGGGCCGTCTCCTGAAACATCACAGCTTGGGAAAACAGCTTAAAGAACTCAGACCAGAGCGTTTTATAGTTTGACATCGAAATTTCGAGCCGTTTACTATACCGGTCGCGCTTTCTCTCCGGGCAAGCCCATCTCCTTTTATATAAAATAGATTTGGGAGAAGCGCCATTTTCTCTTCGATCCCATGTGCAATGAAACGCACGAGAGGCGTTCCGAAACGATTCTGCGAACGAGCTGGAAGCTGGAAAATAACGCGCGGCCGAAAAGAACGCTCTAAAAAGCGCAACTGAAATGCATTAATGCATTTATTAAGCAGCAATAGAGAAGACAAGACACGGCAACGGTTCTACAATGCAGCATACCACACAACTGATTAATTGATTAATTAAACGAAGGCATTTTACCTGTGTCAGGCAGTACGGAGAATACATGGTTCTCTCAGAGGCGGGAAATGAATCGCGTTTTGAAGTTGAGTGGAAGTTCGCCGCGTTGCTGCATTGCTATTGCTCGCCGTCCCCCCTTGCGCCTACTCCATGCTGCTCTCGCCGCTAACCCCGCCTCGAAGGCAGAAAGTGAAAGCTCAAACTTTAGGAAGGAAAAAAACTTTTCTCTCCTTCTTGTTCTCCCCTTCACCCTTTTCCCATTTGATAAAAAAGTTGGGAGCTTCTCATTCTCTATAATCTTTCAGGAGACGTGCATTCATCTAGTGACAGAAAAGTTGAAATACACAAAACTTGGGTATATAAAATGCACCCATGTCATTTAAGGCCACTGTTTTTGGGAAATAGTCAGATTTAGCATTGCCACAACAGCACACTTTCCAAAGCATGCAATACTATCATTTATACTAGCCTACATGTTATAATTAATTTCAGATCAATATTGCCAAGTTAGTTTTGAGTGGCCCCCCTTATTTCACCTCCAAAATTTTGTAATTGTTTTATGAATGAATAATGAATATCATTTCCCCCCCAAATATCTAGGTAATTTTAAGTAAATATAGTGAAAATTTTCATTTTCAGCAATTTTGTGTTGTCATAAGAGTGCGTTACATATATATCAGTCATTAATGACCAGTGTTGGGGGTAACGCATTACAAGTAACGCGAGTTA